CTGAAGCCACCTGCTGCGCCGTGGGAGAATGAGGAAGCACCGGACTCTGAACAGAAAAGCCTCGGCAACTCTCTGGGGCAGTTCCACCATGTCCTGCAGAGTCACCTGGAGTCAGAATTGACTCAGTGACAATGGGTTTACTGTATGCTGGATATTAGCTACTATCTAAGACGTGTTTAGATACCATATAGATATGATTTCAAGCTAAAAGATGTCTTAGGTAATACTGTGCTCGTGCACAAGCCAGTCTTTATCCACTTGCTGGTCACACAGGGAAAAAAGGAGACACACTTAACTCCTTATTTCTCATTCACACCAAACTCTTGCCTTCCTTCCTCAAGGGCTCCCCTCTGGCTCAGGGGAGTGGGGAGGCTCTTCCCACAGATAGTCAAGTGGCACTCTCCTGCACTCCACCCAAAAAATATACAAACTTGTAAGTGAATGTTCATAGCAGCATTATTAGTAATAACTAAAAAGTAGAAGCAACTCAAATGCCCATTAACAGATGAATGGTGAAAGAAAATGTGGTATGTCCATACAGTCAAATATTATTCAGCAATAAAAAGGGGAAAATGCTGACACCGGTTCACAATGGATAAATCTTGAAAACACTATGGTAAGTAAAATAAGGCATTCACAAAAGGTCACATATGATTCATTTATGTGAAATGCCCAGAATAAGCAGGTCCCCAGAACAGAAAGGGGTTTTGTTCTTAACAGGGTGGGAGGGTTGGGGAGAACAGGGACTCAGTGAGACTGGGCATTGGTTTTCTTCTGGGGGTGATGAAAATATGCTCAAATTGGATAATGATTGTCCAAATCTCTGAAGAGACTAAAAATCATTGGATTACATGTACACTTTAAATTTCTTATTAATGTTGAATATCTCAATCAAACTTTAATTTTGAAAGTTCACAGAGAAAGATCTGGAAGTCCTTCTTATGCTGGACATTTTCCCCATGAGTTACAATATCCAAAACAGACTACCCCAAACAGGAAATTAAAAATATGTCTTGTGCCACACAAGGAAGCTTCACATTCAAAATTGTAACAAATGACCTTCGGCAAATGATATTGGCTCATGATATTGTCACCTCCCTTCATTCCTCTACTTATCACCATGCACCTGGTAGGCGATAAACAGCCCCAGAAATCTTAGCAGCTCAAAATTGTCTTGTGCATAGATTCAAACACGGGTAAGAGTGACACTTGCAACTTTTAAAATGACTCATTTGGCTCCTGGATCCAATGAACAAATGCAGTTACGTTGTGTGTGTGTGTGTGTGTGTGTGTGTGTGTGTGTCCACGCGCGTGTGGTGAATTCACCCACTTGCCATTTAAAAATTGTTTATCTTTGTAACAAAAGCATGGGTGAATGTTCAACTGCTGAGAAATCACAAGGTCCACAGACACCCACAAGATGTATCTTCTTTGGAACATTCTCGAAAAGGATGACAGTCCGCAACCAATTAAGCCAACCGTCCTCCTCCCTGTGGGGGCCGGTGTGCAGTGGCTGCAAACGACAGCCTCCTTGGGCGCGTATGCAGCCTGCTGGCTTGTACAGGCTGCTCTAAGGGACCTTGGAGAACATGTGTTGCTGCTGTTTGATAGCTTTGGCCTGGATAACTTCTGCAATCCCTTACCTAGACTCCAAACTGGGGTGTGAGATGATTTTGACAAACCCCAAGGCACAGTGCCTACAACCCACATAGGGTCCACATGTGCCAACTGCACCAAACTCCAAAACAAGGAGCATGTAATTGAGGTCTTATGCAGGACCAAGTTCAAGTTCTCTGGGCACCAGATGCTCCACATCTTCCAGAAATGGGGCTTCACCCAGTGTAATGTGGCTGAGTTAGAGGACACGTTGACTGAGGAACACCTTGTCCAGCTGGCTGTGGACTCACATACATCCCCATCCCAGCTTTTCTTTCTGATTTCTCCAGTGTCCTTGTGTGACTCCATGTATCCGCTTTGGCAACTGTGACCTCTCAAGTCACAGCTGTCACCTCTTCTGGTGATCTCTCACTGACTCTTCATCTGGAAGATTACACCAAAAAAATATATGGGAACAGTACAGATCCTTGGATAGAGGAAACAGTTTGCCATTGCTTCCTCACCCAAGGGTTGGCAGTTCAAGCCTACCCAGCAATGCGGCAGAAGAAAGACCTGGTGGCTTGATTCCATAAAGAACAGTCAAGAAAACATCCTGGAGCCATCCTGCTCTGTAATAAGTGGGGCTGCCATGCATAACAATCAACTCAGCTGCAATGGGTTTGATATTTGCTTTTATCAGGTCAGTTCAGTGATAGAAGTCATCCTTTCTACGTGGGAGGACAGATTCCATTGCTGACCCATCTATCTCATGCACAAGCACCACTCATGCTTCAGGGGAGAGTTGTAGGTCGCCATGATACTAACCAAGTTTGAGCAGAGCTACCAGACTAAAGCAGACCAGCAAGAAATTCAGCCAATGGAAATGCTGTGGATTACAAAGGTCCAACCCCCAGCACATGATGGGGATGCCACTGGACCAAGTTGTGTTTTGGGATTGCCACAAATTAGATACTGACTACACAGCAGTTAGCAACAATAACACATGACTTTCAACTTCCCTGCACAATTATTAAAGAGACCTCATGTCACAGTAGATTACACATTAGGCTGCTAACTGCAAGGTTGGCAGTTCTAACTCACCAGTGACTCCATGAGAGAAAAGGAGGCTCTCTGCTCCCACCAACACTTACAGCCTCAGAAGCCCAACAGAGCAGTTCTACTCTGTCCCATAGGGTGGCTGTTAGTTAGAACTGATTCAGTGTCAGTGAGTTTTGAGTTTACACTATCACTACCAAAGCATCTCAATGGCTTCAGCAACCCACCCATACAAGGAAGCAAGAGTTGTGGGATATGCCCCCTGCTGGTGAAAATACAACGGGGCATCAAAATTTCATAGGAAACAATTCAAAGAAAAGATAACTCTTCCATGAAATTTTGAAGCCCTCTTGCATAAGATTTACAGAGGAATTCCATAAAGTTGAATTTATCCCTGTATAATAAATATATTGTTGTAGGCTTCAGTTGCCAAAAGAACACAAAGGGAGGCCACAAAAAAATCAGTAGATGATAACCAAGATAACGAAAGCTTAATAAATTGTAACTTTGTGATTATGGCTCTTCAGTGAAACCTAAATCCTCTCTTTGGAATGTAATGCCTTTTACCTCTCATACTACTCGTCCCTTATTTTGTTTCTGGACTGCATTTTTTTTTTTTTTAATGACTGTTGAAAAGACGTTTCAGTCAACATAAGGGAAGGGAGGTTTTCTTTATCTGATCACTTTGTTATGGTAGGGCATTGTTTGGAGCATGAAAAACTATTTAAATTAAGTAAGAATTAAGAGAATGCTAAAAGGTGTTCTCTTTCCAAAGTGCGGGCCTCTGCATTTTTCACCGATTCTGATATGACACTAAATTCTTCCCTTCGGAGATTTAGTGCATACGGTCTGACTAAAACTATTGGGAATACAAATCCAACACATTCTGTTTTCTCAAATAGTCAATGGCCAACACGTACAATTTTACAAAGCTCCACAATGGAGTATCTTCATGCTCTCTTCCACAGAAGTGCCTGCTTGAGCAGGTTTTTGCTTTTGCAGTTCCACTGCAAAATATGTGTCAATATATTCTTAGGCCCTTTGAGCAGTTAGGCTTTGAGCTGCTAACTGCAAGGGTCAAAGATGAAGCTGCCTGCTCCTGTAAAGATCTACAGTCTCAAAAATTCTACAGAGGGTCACATGAGTAGGCATCTACTCAATGGTAGTGGATGTGGTTTTTTGGATTGATACACTTCCCGGTAGTCAGTCTCTCTGTCTCTCTATCTCTCTCTCTTGCTCTCTCACAGACACACACACACACACACACACAACTCTAATTGCTATTTCAAGAGAGGCCAACAAACCAAACTGACAAGGCTCGAAAGAGAACTCAGAAATGGAACGTCCTAACTTTTTGAACATTAAAATTCAAATATCCTTTGTAACTTCAGAAGGAAGTTTGGGGATTGCATTTTCCTTTGACTTTACCGCTTAGTCGGTGCGGCCAAACTCACAGTACCGCAGCCCTCCCCTAAACCCAGCAGCTTCACTGCCGTCGCTGTGTTGACATGACAAATCACCTTGACCCCAAAGTAACAGCTTCATGCCCTTTGAGACAGCGTGCCCAGGACACACTTTCAGTTTTATCAGTTGAAACTGAAACATGTTCCAAAGCAGTCTGCACTTCAAGAGAAAGAATACTTACCTTTCAACTGACTTGGCAGCTGCCTACAGGACGGTCATCTGTCAGGGAGGTCACGGGCCACACTCCTGGAGCAGCTGACCCTGTCAGTCCTGGAAAACACTGTTTACTCTGTAACTAATACTGGATACTGGGCACAGGGAACAGAGGCCAGAAAATAAATGAAAAACAAGTTCAACATAAATCCCCTGTCCACTGGGACCACTTCTTTAAGAAAAAGAAAGAAGAAAAAAACAGTAGTTGCTAAATTTCCCCAGGTGACTTCTTCATAAGAATGTCGCAGCAAGAGAAGGAATTTGGAGCCAAGTGTGGAAAAAGTTTTGTGACATATCCAACTATCTACTTTTAGTTTGCTGATGAAAAATCGTGTAAGCTTCCCTGAGGACTTAAGTGCTAGAGCAGTAAAAGGTTACTAAAAGTGAAATTGCTCTTCTATTTATAGTGAGGGCTTTAAAAAAAAATTTTTTTTTGGTTTGGCACGTATTCTCTTTCTGTTATTTATTTCTCTCTTTTCTAATCATTTTATTGGGGGCTCATACAACTCCTATCACAATCCATACATACATCAATTGTATACAGCACATTTGTACATTCGTTACCCTCATCATTCTCAAAACATTTGCTCTCCACATAAGCCCCTGGCATCAGTTCTAATTTCCCCCCCTCCCTCCCTGCTTGACCCTCCCTCATGAACCCTTGATAATTTATACATTAGTATTTTGTCATATCTTGCACTGTCCGACGTCTCCCTTCACCTACTTTTCTGTTGCCCTTTCCCCAGGGAGGAGGTTATATGTAGATCTTTATCATTGGTTCCCCCTCTCTACCCGGCCCTCCCTCCACCCTCCCCATATCACCACTCTCAGCACTGGCGCTGAAGGGATCATCCGTCCTGGATTCCCTGTGCTTCCAGTTCCTATCTGTATTAGTGTACATCCTCTGGTCTAGCCATATTTGTAAGGTACAATTGGGATCATGATAGTGGGTAGGGAAGAAGCATTTAGGAATTAGAGGAAAGTTGTACTTTTCATTGTTGCTACACTGCACCCTGACTGGCTCGTCTCCTCCCCACAACCCTTCCATAGGGAATTTAAAAATAAATTTGAGGATTCTTCCTGAAACACAATGCCAATCACTCCAGAGAAGGAAAAGCAGAGTGATGCAATAGGTAACTCATGACAAGGCTTACCCATGCTTCACAAGTAGACAGGGCAACTGCCCTGCTCTCCAGCCACCAGGAAAATGTCCAGGCAGAGCAGAGCCCTGCTGTACCCTCCTGACTTAGCACAGGTTGTCTTGACTAATTTATTTCAGCAGAACCACGGTCATGCTCTCCCAATATTATATGCCTAACTCATATCTGAGACACGTACATTTTCTCTCCATTAAAAAGACCCATTCAATTCACAGCCAATGTTCCTCATGCATGGCCACCATGCATTTTTCAGGGGAGGTTGGTGTGTTGCTAGGATTCTCAGGAGGTCTCAGGAGAGCTTCCAGACTAACTCAAACTAGGAAGAAGGGGCTGGTGATCTACTTCTGAAGAATCAGGCCAGGAAAGCACTATGGATCACAGTGGTCAGGCAGATGGCATACAACCAAGTGGCATTTTGCTCTGTGGTACACAACTACAATGGATTGAACAGTGTCATCCTATATCCGCAGTGGCATCACACCTTGGAAAGGGTGTTTGTCACTATGCTCATGAAACAGCATTAGTATAGAGCTGTCAGCAAATCTCTTTGGAGATAAGAGGAAGCAAGCAAAAATGGTGTGGGGATGATGCATGATGTGTGACCAACAACGAACGTAGGAGTAGACACAGAAAACAAATAAGGATCTTCTCACAAACATAGAGCGCCTTCCCCTAGAGTGGGCTCCCTGAATGTGTGCTTCTAGGCTACTCGACTGTGAAAAGAAAAGGAGCTCTGGTGGAGCATTAGGTTAAACCCTTGGCTGCTAACTATGAAGTCGGTGCTTTAAAGAATATTGGATGAACCATAGGCTATCAGAAGAATAAACAGATCTGTGATGGAAGAATACAAGCAGAATGCTCCTCAGAAACAAAGATGATGGGACTTCTCAAGCATTTTGGACATATTATCAAAAGCGATCAGTCTCTGGACCTTAAATAAGATGGATTGACTTAGTCGCTGCAAAAATGATCTCAAACAAAACAACAGTGTTGAACATAGGACCACTGTGAACTGAAACTGAGTTGATGGACCTTAAAAACATCCTTTAAAAGCAGGTAAATTAACAATCATATAATTGCCATATAACTACGCTATTCTACATG